CTCGCGTCCGACGGACGAGACCGCCTTAGTAGACGTGCCGATGTGCCTTATCTCATGTCTACGCCGCAGGACAGTGCTAGCGTCCTCTAGACGTCGTTTTGGGTGGTAGTGGTGTTGATTAATTGAAGCTTATGGAGGATAGGGCTTTAATAACTAGTGTTCAATATAATGCTTCATAATAGTTGTTTTTTTCAAAAAGAATTTTAAAGTAGTAGAATTGTATTTCTGTGGTATCTTCAATTCAAAGGAAAGTAGTGTATTAATCATGCAGCGAGTGAAACTTCTTGTCTTTATTTTAAATTGTTATGCATAAAAATAAAATGCTCTTTAAGAACAGATGTATTTAGAGATTATTTTCTACTAAATCACAATTAGGCATTGGTCAGTTACAATACATTCTTTCTGATAAGGTAATATACATTACAACCTTCTAGTAGAATAAAATAAATCCAATGGCACATAATAATTAACAAATAAAACATGAGATCAGAAAAGGAACATTTACGCATTAACATTTTGCTACTACTACTTCTTAATATTTGTGATATTTGTTTAATGTAAAAGATTCTTTCACACCAAATACATTTTAAAGTGGGTCAAATATTTACCTACTGAATATCACAAACCACAAGAGTATAATAAACACATCAAAACTTAAGAACAAATAAAAAGGAACTATTTTGCATTGCTAATTTGCTGTAGTGTGTAAGTAACAACAGCACCTTTATCAGTTATCTTTGGTCTAGGCAAGGAGCAGATATATTTATCTAAATTATAGTAACCATGAGTGTCCATGCTTATTGGCTGCAGTCTTTTCTTTGACAGGGAATACCATGAACAGAGGCACTCAATGCCACGAGCATTTTTGTCAGGGGCTTTTGTTGGGGCTCGTAACCTAGAGTATTCCTGATTTTTCTTACTTGAGCCTATAGAATAACTGAAAGATAACACATGTCCTATTACTACACTTTTTTGGTCCTCTGCTCTAAAGGCACACCAATCCCCAATCGTAACTTCAGTCTCAACGGATGGAGAGTGAAACTGATGGGAAAAATTACATGAATGAATAACACCTTCCCCCTGGACACGTA